CGTTGTCTGTTGAAACCATGGGCTTAGAGGAATCAAATTAAGCCATACTTTATTTACTCTTTAAACAAATCCTGATAATTTTCTGACGTTTTTTCAACGGTATCTAATTAATCCAATATAATCTGAATCATCCACGTTTAATTATGCTAAACTTTAATGGGGTAGAACCGTAGAAGGATTTGGGTGTTGACTGGAGATATGAACAAAATTTTTCGAAAATATCTGATAATAGTTTCTTGCATCTTTGTACAAATTTCCGTCGTCAAAGTCAAAATTTTGATAAGCGAAACAGTCGTTGATCAATCCCAATAGTAAGAACTAAGGATGATTCGTTTGGTTAGAAGATTAACATAACATAATTTGGTTTTAAGTTCAGGGAAGAAGCTATGCTGCGTCCGGGGGGCCATTGCCCCCGATTTTTTTTTTATAATTTGAAAATATACAGTGGCGAATACTAAATTAAACCTTCTAATTTTAGTTTGTCCTACTTATTATACGACGATCTTAAATTATATTCTTCAAATGCAACAAGTTCTTTTTTAATGTATAAAGAAGTAATACATTTTCGAGGTATAAATAAATTTGAACTCACACAAAATGATAATATGAATATATTATCAAATTCGAAGCCTAATAATTGACGCTGAGCATTTGATTTCGTTCTGTCAATTGCATGGAATCGATTCAAATCAGCTTCTATTCATCTTTTGCTTACATCTTACTTCAATTCTTGGAAAGTTGATTGTACAATAATTCATACAGTTTTCATTTTTAAGGTCATGATTTATACAGTTTTATCTTAAGAAATTAGTAGCAATTCGAAATTCAAAATCGATAATCGTTTAAAGTGACAATTGACAACAACATCCATGAAAGTGAACATCATTTGCTTTCATACTATTTGGATAATTATTGTTTTAATAGTCTGTAATTCTCAATTCTGTGTCCTTTGACATGGTTTTCAACAAGAAGCAAAATCCAGGATTTTGTTTTGCTTTTTTCTTACTCATTGGGGAAAATTTGAAAACCTGATCATGCAAGTAGCTGAGTAAGAAAACTGGCACAATGAACAAGCCTGATGAAAATATATAAATGGTATTATTTTAAAGATAAATTATCTAAATTATTAATTTTGATTAGTTTTAATATCTAAATTTTCCTATTTCGCACATGATTGTATTGTGTGAGCTTAGCCTCTGCTGGCTGCCCTGCCCCCTCCCAACATAAATAAAAGCAACTTTTCCCTGTGATTCCTTTTTGCTTTTTCTACTTTTTAAAGCATAAAAAAGACGGTTAAAAGAAGAGCAACCCAGAGCCTAGAAACTAATAGCCTACAACTCTACCACATCCAAATTCCAAAACATTGTATATTTTCCTCTCTGTCAGTCATATTTGAATTGAACCCACAATTTCAAAGGCTGAGACTTTGCTATATAATATATCCCTTTCTTCATGTTTTGAAGAAATTTCTTCCGTTACCAGGAACAGTAAAAAGCTATTATTATTGTTTGAAAAGAACCAAGCGATGAAGAAGTTTCTGACTCTGTTCATTTTCCTTGTTTCTACTCATGAAACCATTATTGTTTCAGCATCAGCCGTGCAAGGCGGCCCTCTTGCTCCCTCTTTATCCCCTCTTTCGTCACCCTTTTCCACTCCCATCTCTGCTTCAATGTCCGCGTTCTCTCCAGGTAGAAGAACTACTTCAAAATTTAGTTATGAAACCGGCCATTGCCTCCTTTTTTTTTTGTTTTTGTTTTGACACTGTTAGCTAGTGGACATAAAGCCCTTGTTTTTTTCCGGTTGGCTCGGTTGTTTCTGGTTAGACTTCAAAGACAGTCTTATCCGAGTTCAAATTTTCATTCGCTGCATTTAATATTCTTGAATGTGGACAGTGTTTGATTCTAAAATCTCTTCAGATTTCTTAAACCGGAGAGCATTTTGCTTGGAGAAGGAAGTTTTCATTTTTCATTTCTATGCTAAAAAAAGTTATGCTTTTTGACTCTATAAAGTGATTTAATGAGATAGCAGGATTCCAACTGGGAAGCAAGGAGCACAAAAAGAAGGATCCGACCAAGAAAATGGCAATAGCTCTCATTCTTGCTTGCTCTTCCTTGGCTGCAATTATCTCTTCGTTGTTTTGTTTATGGGTTTATTACAGTAAGAATTCACGCAAATCCACCAGAAATGATGGGAAGAGCTCAGGTATATTCTTTTCACCCCATACTATTTCAGTTTTCTTCATAGTTATGGGACTTTGAGAATTAGGGTTTAGAACTGATGCTTGTTTTCCCTATGTTTTCTTTTCTTTATGTGGTTTTGGATTTGAAGATGCTGAAAAAGGGGATGGACTGGCACCATTTTTTGGTAAATTCAAGCCTACAAGGACAGTTCTAAAGAAAATAATGCCTCATTCATGGATTATAAGATGCTTGAAAAATCTACAGACAAGTTTCATCAAGGTAATATTCTGGGTGAGGGTGGATTTGGGTGTGTTTACAAGGCTCAATTCGATGATTGTTCTTTTGCTGCTATTAAGAAGTTGGACTGTAAAAATCAGGATGCAGAAAAAGGATTTCAGGTATTATTAAAAAAAAATTATCAACCCCTTTTATGTGTTTTCAAGGATTTCATATTTTTTTTTTTATGTTGAGTTATATTGTATTGAATTGCAGAATGAGGTGGATTTGCTACGTAAATTTAAGCATCCCAACATAATATCATTGTTGGGTTTCAGCAGTGAAAATGAATCAAGGTTTATTGTATATGAATTAATGCAGAATGGTTCCTTGGAAACTCAGATACATGGTAAGCACTCTCTCTCCCTCTTCGACTCTCATGAACAACTTAAGAACTCACCAATATAAAAGGATATATGTTAATTATTGTTTCTGGAAAATTTTAAATTACATCTCAGGACCTTCTCAGGGGTCTTCATTAACATGGGATAAAAGGATGAAAATTGCTTTGGATACAGCAAGGTAAGGCTTTGTTTTCATTTTTACTTATTCCTCTTGGTTAATGAATATGGTTTTAAAAAATAACACTCGTTGACCAGAGGATTGGAGTATCTGCATGAACATTGCAACCCACCAGTCATCCACAGAGATCTGAAATCATCAAATATTCTTTTGGATTCAAACTTCAACGCGAAGGTAACGATTATGCTGCTTTCCATTTCGGTCTTGTATTATCTATTGGAGCTCACTTTCTTTCCATTATGTCTCGATACAGCTCTCGGATTTCGGTCTTGCAGTAACTGATGCAGCCCATAACAAAAATAATCTGAAGCTTTCGGGTACTTTAGGTTATGTTGCCCCAGAATACCTTTTAGATGGTATGTAAGCTAAATCTGAATTATACGTCATGTTGTGCAAATTATCTGAAAGTGTTATCTGGAATTTTTTGTAGGTAAATTAACAGATAAGAGCGATGTGTATGCATTTGGTGTTGTGCTGCTGGAACTTCTATTAGGAAGAAAGCCTGTGGAAAAACTGGCACCAGCTCAGTGCCAATCTATTGTCACATGGGTATGTATGCCTTGCTCTTACGATGATTCACTTGAAAAAAATGAAGGGTTGTTTGTAAATCTGATGCCATATCCATTATTTAACACAGGCCATGCCTCAGCTTACTGATAGATCTAAACTCCCGGACATCGTGGATCCTGTAATACGAAATACAATGGATCTAAAACACTTGTATCAGGTTGGTAAGCTACTGTCTTTGTTTATAAAATTGCCTGCTACGTCACACAAGTCTGACTGGTTATGGTTAGGTTAGGTAGGAATGAGTGAGCTTAGAACCCATTTATTCATTTTGCAGACTGATTTGCTTTCTTTGACTCCATTCCCTCTGTTACTACTTTGGCAATTAAAATGTGGAATTGTACTATACAGGTCGCCGCTGTTGCCGTGCTATGCGTGCAACCCGAACCAGGCTATCGGCCGTTGATAACCGATGTTCTGCACTCGCTTATCCCTCTTGTACCTATGGAACTTGGAGGGACTCTTACACAAGCTGCAGCCCCTTGACAGCAAAAACTACCCCATGTGTGTTTGACATGTCTCCAAATCTTACATGCACATCAGTTCCATAAGCAAAACATTTGATGATAATGTATACCTTTGGGGCGAAGTGTGAACGTTGGTTGGTTGAGCTGGTGTGGATGATTTTCTGATTGTTAATATCATTTGGAAATTGCACTAAATATGAAATGCTTTATACAGCAATCTTAGATTTATTTGTTTATACAATGATAATTTGGTCGAAACTTTGAATTCCCAAACTTAAATAAGAAGTTACATTCACCTTCGTATTTTGTTTTTATCAATTAATCATCGATATAATGATAAAAGATTTCTATTATTATCAAATCTTTTAATTAACATCCGACAACAGACACGTCACTAAAAGATGATTAAATTTTAGATAAAGAGAATATAGCAGATACGATGATATAAGCGATAATTATAGTGCATATTAGGTACACCTGCATGGGACTTGGAAATGAATTATTATTTTGTAGAAACTAATAGGCTATACGACTCTCACAACCACAGCCCGCAAGGTGACGAGTTGCAGCGTAAACGCTTGCATCGGTTGCTAAACATTTGATGTTTTTTTTAATCAAACGAAATAGAGATGAACAGGAGCATACGACCACACTGGTAAAAGGAGGAGCATACATTTTATTTCGAACTTAGTTTTCTGAATTATTTCAACCTTAGTATCTTTCGTAGACAGCAATGGGTTCCGAGATGCTCCGTGCAGCAGTCTTTTTCTCTCAAGGAAGAGATCAATCCTTATTCAACCAAGCCTTGGACACAATTATAACATAGAGTTGCATTACAAAAACATGAAATACGAGAACTAAATTTCAACATTTCTCTACCAACACAGGAACTCTTTATTGTTTGAGACAGTTATAATAATCAGTAATGCTTTCCAGATTTGCTGTCATCTGGAAAACTTCAAAATTTCCACATTCAGCAAAACAAAACTAGAGGTTGCAAAATTGCCCCTATCAAAACTTGAAAAAAATGAGTGTTTAAGCCCGATCAGCACACATTATTACAAAATCCTTTTCATAAAATCACCTCACTTACTCATGGTTCTTGTTCAAATCAAGTTTTCCTTTATTTTAACTGACATTGTGATAAGAATCAATGATGGCATCTGCAAGGTATTCACACTTGGCCAACGATAATCCTGCAAGGGATATCCTTCCGTCCTTGGTCATATATACGTGCCACTTGTTGGTCATGTTATCACACTATTAAGAAAAGAAAAGAAAAAAACCATTACAACAAGAATATTGTCATATTATGCCATTCAAAATATGATACTTTACTATCGACATAATCCAGTGTTTAATCAAGTATCCAAATTTTGAATCCATTTATCACGTTAACTGATACTACTGTCTTAAAAATACTGATTTGGTCTTAATCCGATTATATTCTAATACTTCAAAGGCTTAAACAAACATTAACCCAACACGAGGTTATTCGTCAAATATGCGGTGATAATGCTATATTTCACTGTCATATAGGGCGCAAAGAAAAGGTGGGAGCAGGCTATTACCTGAGCTTTGTTTAAGCCAGTGAATGAAAACATTCCAATCTGCCTAAGAACGAATGACCAATCCTTCCCACTTTTATCTTTGGAAGAAAGACTGTCAAATAGTTTCTGCCTCACATTCATAATTCTCCCTGCCATCATTTCCATCTCTGCATTCCACTCCTTGAAGAGAGCTGCATCCCCAACAACACTGGCAACAATCCTAGCTCCATGAACAGGAGGATTTGAGTACATTGGTCGAGCAATTCTTTTCAGTTGGCTCTTAACCCTGAAATAGAAGGACAGAATATAACTCGGTCCCTAAACAATATATACCATTCCAAAGGACTAGAAACCAGAAGCGAATTATGTGTAACATGTCCGACTCATTTGAACTAATATTCATTGGAGCACTGTTGGAGGAACTAGGATGTGAAAAGACAAAAAAAAAATCTACGTTATAACTTTGCCAACATTTTTACAGATGAATATGTTGGGTATTACCATCAATTAGTTTCTATAATATCAATTCTCTACGCATCAGAAAGCAAAGGGTATTAAATATGACGGCATATTTAAACTTGAGCAACATCTTGTCACTCTCAAGAATGAAGGGAAATCATATTTCCCCGCCTGTAACACAACATAATTACTGAAATATAAAAAAAAAATCTAGCTACATGGCCTATTGTGCATTTGCAATCATCTCTGGTTTAGCTTAATTGAAAAAAAAAGAGCTCACTACATAACATTCCACGAGATCAAGAAAAACTGCACCTTGCAGCATCATCTGATGATGAGCAAACGACATTAATTGCTCCAATCCTTTCCGCATAAAGGCCAAGATTTTTACTGTATGACTGAGCAGCAATGACCTCCATACCACGGGCCACAAACATCCTCACAGATGCTGCATCAGTATCAAGGCTTCCACTTGCAAATCCCTATCACCAAAAGTAATTCAACTAGTTCTCATTAAAATATCATATTTTCCATCTTTATATAATATTACCATATTAGACATCAGTCACGATATTAATCAAGTTTTATATCACGAATTCAGGTAACTATTACCTGGTATGCAATATCGAAAAATGGAATATGGTTCTTCTCTTGGATGACATCTGCAATTGTTTCCCACTGTTCAGGGGTCGGATCAATACCGGTTGGGTTGTGAGCACATCCATGAAGAAGAATAAAAGATCCCTCAGGAGCTTCCTGCAAAGTGTGATTGAAGACTAAATTGTTTAACAAAGAGAGATGATATTGAAATATTTTCTAGTGTGCCTTTTAAGCCAGAAGATGACCTTGATGTCTGCTATCATCCCTTCAAAATCCAAGCCAACTGTTTTTGGGTCGTAGTATCGGTATTCTGACCATGGGACCCTAGCATCATTGAAAATGTTCTTGTGATTACCTGTGAACCAATTTCAGTAACTATAAGAATGCATAATATTGAACAAATTTCACAGATAAGTTAAAGAGGAAGACATTATTCACCCCATGTGGGAGATGATATTAGAACTTTTGCCCCCGGAAAATATCGTTCTATAAGCGCAGCAGCCAATCGAAGTGAACCAGTCCCTGAAAGCCCTTGAACTGTTGCAACCTGGTTAAATGAAACACATACATTAAAATGAAACCAATTTCAATCTTCTCCAGAATTCTCACGTACTCTTTGTTGTTTTATAACTGGGTTGTCTGCTCCAAACAACAGCTCTGCTGTCACCTTATTGAAAGCAGCCAAGCCTTCAATTGGGAGATACTGCATGTGAAACTAAATATAGTAAGCTTCCTTAAGGGAGAAGATGATCGCTGTTATCCAATCAAATTAGTAAATAAAGTTACCTCTCGGTTTTCCCCCTTCTCCAGTAGAAGTTTATCAGCCTAGAAAATGGACAGTTTCAACATCAATTTGAACACAATATATAAATGTCAAAGAAATTAATACTCACTCATTAAAGCAAGAAGAAAAGCAAATAAAAGTTATGTCAATGGAGAACCTAGAGCAGGCCATCACTAATGAAATTGTACCACCTGCTTTAGGAAAGAACACTAACCTTTTTAACCACATCAAGAACATAGGGCTGCAGTTCTTCGGTTCGATAGGCCCCGACTCCAAGGTTGAGCTTCAACTCGTGGTTGTCTGCTTTGAAAGCTTCAGAAACCCCAAGAATTGGATCAGGGGGAGCCATTGTTATACCTTCAAAACGAGACACGTCGGAAGCTACAACCATTGATATTCGACCAACAGACTGCAAACAACCAAATGATTCGGATGAAGAAGCAAACAAAGCGGGAAAAATAACTAAAATACCAGCTACCCACAGTCAATCTATGTAAACCCTTTAACATAACTGGGGTTACCAGACACACAGATCAAGGGAAAATGTCATTATAATTACCTAACCATACTGAGCATGGAAGGTTGATCTAAAATTGCAAATGGAACAGAAAGTAAGAGGGGGGAAAAGTACCTTTGTTTTCAAGAAGAGATTTGTTTTCTCCTTTTTGAAACAGTTTCCAAGATTCAATTTTCCCTGTGAAAGATACCCTCTCATTTCTCAGTGTAACCAAACAGTAACTAACATAAAAACAGAATAGAAAAAAAATAAAGAAAGGGATCAGAAATACCTTTTCAATTCCATTAGAAGAAAGTGAAGCAGAGGGACCTGCGGAAGCCAAAGAGAGCACCGATGAAGCCATCTGTCTAGCAGCCAGGAGATGAGTATCTGATTAGATCAAAACTTTAACAAATGTGACGAAACTCACAGTAACGGGTGGCCAAATGATCCGTTTAATCAATAGAAGGGTAAATGATATTCAACAAACTTTTAAGATACACTTTGACTTTTAATTTTTAAAATTTACATCAAAGAGTTTCTTATCATTTTTTCAATAAACTGATATTCTTCAATGTCGTCATATTTTTGTTAAACTTTTAAAATACTTTTTATACTTTAATTTGTTTGAAGATTAAACTAATTTTAAATTTCTAAAAAATTAATGAAGTCTCCAAAATTTTAAAATATACATCAATTAAATAATTAAAATCATGTCATTAATTATATCCATATTTATAAATGAATAGTATTTAGGTACGTCTTTGTTTTTAAGATGATTTTCAAAGTAAGCAATATTTAGGCAGGTTTTAAATAGTTTATGAAATGTCACTAAATTATTTAATTATTGCCTAAAATTGAATTTATTTTGAACGTTTAAATATTATTTTATGATTTTACATGATTGATAAAATATATTAAAGTTAAAAAAGGAAATTTTTTGAAATGAAACAAATTTTGTATGATCAATGAATGTCTATAATATTGATGTAAAATCTTTAACTCGTATTTTGATATGTATAAGGGTTATGGGTGTTATAATTTTACACGAGGTGATCTTTATTTCCAACGCCTCATTTAATATTTTGGTCGTACACTCCCAAAATACCTAGGGTGCGTTTGGTTTACGAAATGTAAGATTACCAGTGGGAATAAAAGATTATCAGGGAATAGAATTACTGGGAATGTTACATTACTGTGTTTGGTTGGTTTGGCATGAATGTAAGATTACAGTGTTTGGTTGAAGGAATAAAAGATTACTATAATGTATATTTTACTAAATTGTCATTGTTCTATATTTTTTAACAAGTGAAATTCTAAATATTTAAATAAAAATTATTTATATAAAAATTAAAAATTATTTATATAAAATTATATATGTTGATAATATATTACTTGAGTATTTAAATATATCATGTATTATTTTTATTTTAATTAATATTAAATTTTACATAATTTATGTAAAAATATATTAAAATTTTACGTCAACATTTAACTAAATGTTTACATTGTGAAAACTAGCTTCAGTTCATATGTGATGCATTCATTGGGAGGTTTCTTGTATTTTTCAATCGATAAGGTTTATATTCTTCTATATACAATAATTTATCATAGATATTCATAATAATAAAAAAGATGTAAATTATTTTTGTTATCTAAGATATAATATTTATTATATCTTTTATATATAATAATTTATTTATTTATCTTTTATATTTATACTTTATTTTGCATACTTTATCATTATTATTTATCTCATGAATTTATATTACAAACACACAATTCAAATAAGTGAGAAAATAATAGTCTTGTGATATAAGGCACATGTTTGATTGATTATACTGTGCATCTGTTGCCTTAAGATACCTGCATTACTTTATAACATTTCCCTTTATCTTAGATGGCATTGGAATACTATATGTATTCATTGCATTAGTAACTTAATAATAGACATATTGCTCTTAGCATTATCATTATCAATATCGTATACATACAATAACTACAATAGTAATATTCATATCCATGTCTTTTCGTCTTCAAGAATTCAACGACCTTTCATCATATCACTAGAAACCATCACAGAGTTCATAAAAGCAATTGACACACTCGAAGCAAGCGAGAGCAGTGCATATTTGTGACAAAACAATAGTGCATTGGTTATTCATATACGAACAAGCTTGGATGAAGCACATACAACAGCAACGATCAAGCAACATGCAGCAGCAGTTGGAACTTGGAAGCAACATTAACCAAAATATATGCTCCTTTGGGTGACTTGGGTTCCTCAACACCTGGAGGAATATTCTTAGCCGTAGCAGTCAAGTTACCAAAGCCAACACCCAAGCGTCCCAGTAAAATCATCTTCGGACCAGTCGGTTCTCCCTTGCTTGGCAGCTTTATTTTGTTAAATATCTGGTTAAACTTACAGAAACTAAGTGAACACATAAAGATTCATTTTTTGGCCTAAATTATATAACAACCAATGTAAAAAAGAATAGTAAATTTATGCATAGCCTTAGGCAAGTAATTCACCACATGTAAAAGATACATACATCACTTACTACAGTCGAATTCGGTACTTTCTTCCCACTATCAGTCTGAAGTAAAACCAAGCGGGTATACTCCGATGGAAAACTTGTTTGTAGACTTATTTTGGCAACCTGAACCAGAAACAACACAAAAAAATGGTTAGGTGTATGTTCAGAAAGTCCATCCCCAAGACTGATGTGGCAGTTCAGAAAGGCCAATTGTATGGAATGTGCAGCAATATTCTCAAGAAGTTCAAAAAGAGAACCAAGTAAATTTTAGTTTGATAAGTTCAGTAAGATTAAATTCAAGTAGATGTAAATCCTAGGCTTCTAGCAAATAAGAAGGAAAACAGGGTAGATCTAATAAATTCAAAGAGAAATGACATGGTTGCTTCTTGCATCGAGGAAAAGTATATGGAAATGTGGATAACAAAACATGTAAAACATAGTGGAGATTCACACTCTATCCAGAAGCATATGTAAGAACTTGCAACCTTAAATTTGAATTAGAAAAGGGCAGGTTCTACCTTCAGATTCCATCATATTCTATCGTAGAAATTCAGAAAAAGAACTTATTTCTGTTAAGTAATTACATTGAAGCATATCAACTAAATTTCTATGTTTTTGCCTTATCAATAACTTATTATTCGCAATCGCATAGACGGTTCAAGTTAGACCCAACTTCAATGTAAAAGATTTTCAGTCTCGTAACTTCAACATTTAATTACTTGGATTATTTGCGCAGAAAAGGAAAAAGAATCTGCATTCTAAGCTAAACACTGAAACGTTCCAAACGCCTAAACAACATACGAAAAACAACAAGCTCAGTTGAGAAAGCACGAAATTATGTACTTTATGGACATGAAAATGAATAAAGCAATGTAACATTATGAAGCAAAGTCAAAGAAAGTAAGAGTTTCATGTGGTTTTTGGATCCTCGCGACGGAACTAGTACTCACAGTAAGCTCAAATCAAAAGCATGGAGGTCAAATTCAGTAGAAATTTCTGAAATTAGACTACTAGGAAAAGAATCAAACACATGGGAAAATAATCAAACACAAAATAGGAGGTCGAAAAAAGCAATAAATAGGAATCAAACGTAGCATATGTGTGCATTCAAGAGGTTTTTGTTAATAGAAACAAAAGCACAAAATATGGAAACCAAGTAATATTACTGGGAAAATAAAAGATAGGGAGTGGAGGAGAAATCTTACCAGAAAAAAATTCTCAGCAAAAGAAACTGGACAAAAGCGAGGTAACGGGGAGAAGAAGAGAATAAGGGTATTTTAACCCAAACGACTCGGGAATAAATAAAAACCTATGTGATATGTGGGAATGACATTCCCAGTAAAAAGGTAAAAAAATTTACTGTTGGCAATGAGATAATACCCTCGGGTGGGAATTTTTCCCATCCAAACGTGGGTATAACAATTTTGGGAAAAAAAATCCTACCAGTAAACAAGAATTCCATGATCCAAACACCCACCTACTCCTAGAACAAGCAACTTCTAAATTGCTCTCCATCTTCTATAAAAGACCTACTCCTAGAGGGGAGAAGGGGTGGGGAACACTTCTACCCTACTCTCTATCAATGTATAGAAGATTCTATAATAAAAGAGATGTCCTCATATAATTTTAACTTTCTTTTTTCAACTTTAAATTATTATTTTGTTTATAAAGTAATATATGAGATATAAGTAATATATGTTTTTTTATTCAAAGTTTATAAAGTAAATAATTACTCTTTCTTAAATTATACATATATATTAAATTTAGAATAAATATTTTTTTAAATATATCACTTTATAACGTTCTCTCGGCGGATATGCATTGTATTCTTTCATTGTTCGTTAGAAAATATGAAAAATAAATTAAGGATGTCCATATATCATTGATACAAGGAATAAATTCAATAGGTCAGATCTTGAATTTCCACTATTAAACTGATTTTAGGGTAAACACAAATTTCGAGGAGGAAAAAGGGAAAAATAAAGCATAACTATTCATCTAGAACATAAATCATATCTCTTACTAGCTCACCTCAAACAAGATGGAGTGTGGAGGATTACATTCTTAAACCAACAATCATCGTGAACAATTACCTCTTTCTTTTGATCAGTGGTAGATCCAAAAAATTTTTTTGACGGTGAACACATATAGGTTGGTAATATAAAATTTTTGAATGAGATAAATGTAAACAAAATTTTGGAATAAACATTATCAATAAAATAAGAAACTTTTTTTTGGGTAATACAATATAATCTTATTTTTATTTATAATTAAATCTAAATGAAATATATTAAATTACGCCGTGAGTAAAAAAAATTAAATCCAAGTCTGGGTCCAATAAGATCGGGCTGCTCGGCCCATGATCAAACTATGATGTTGGGCCTTCATTGACGGTTCTTGTCTTGCTTTATATCGAATATGTAATTGTTTTGGTTCCACGAATGGTTTTAATTCAAATCGATGAACTGTTTTTTTCTTAAAGAAAATATACAAGAATTTAACATAAAATTATATTATATTTATTATTATTAATTATACTCGAAGAATGTGCATCATCTTTTGATAATAAAACAAACTCATGTTTGTTTTTTAAAAAATACAATGAACATGGGATGAGCATTCTAGCAGGAACGAACATACAATGTATAAGGAAGATGCCAAAGTGGAAAACAAAACAACAAAAGAAGTCTCCAAATAAATAGATATATAAAAGCAATATTCCTATCCCAGCCACATGAATCTTCTTCCCTCTACCATCACTGCACATGAGCCTTACTCACCAGCACCATGTGCTGCTGCTTCGTCAGTCACCTACTTATTTTTGGTGAAGCTACAACTTTTAATTTACTCTACCTCGTTTCCCTACCTACCAGGTTTGTTTGCTTCAATATTTGTTGTTGGATTTGGCTTTAGATTGTGATTGACAATTCTAATTAATTAAATAAATATCTTTTATAATAATAATGATGTATATATGGTTGTGTAGGGCCAAGGCCAAGATTAAAACTAAACACGGACATGCACATGCACATGGAGATTTTGAGATCTCTTTTTCACGCCAACACCGGGAGGACGATTTAATCCGGATTCGATAGATTTTGATACGACACAATTTGGTAAGATTAATTTCTTTCGAAACAAAATTAGATTTCATTCGACTTGAGTTAGGTCAGATTTATTAGAGGGTGGGGTTAGGTTTGGATTTCCGGTGAAAAATATTTGGCTCGATCTATGGTAATAGTATATTCTTCTTCTATAAATTTAAAGATAATTTTTACAATGCCCCTTACTATAATTTTATTTTCAATTAAGTGTCTATTTTATCGAATAATATATATATATATATGTATATCGAGTTGGATCGGATCGGATGCATATTTTTACTCCAAAATTTAGATTGGATTGAGTTTGAAGGGAGGAGATATGCTTTATGAATCAGATTGAGTCGGGTGAAAGATATATACTGTCAGATCAAGTCGAGTATGATGTAGATTTTTACTCTAACATTCAGGTTGGGTTGAGTTCGGATGGAGAAAATATGCTTCTCGAGTCGGCTCGAATCGGATCAAAGGGATATACTTCTTGAATTGGGTCTGGTTGGATGAAGACAATATATTTCTGGAGTTGGATTGAACTGACAAAAGCTTAATCCAACCCGACCCGTTGGTCTCCTTGGTCAATACTAATGATGAGGTAAGTGGTATGTGTTCAAAAAAGTCAAACCAAACAGCCTGGCTGCCCTGCTACCCAAATCCCTTAGACTGCGGCCTGCTCCATGGACACAACATATTCCCATCACATCTTCTGTCGCAAATGCCGTTGGACCAATGAACTGTGCGTGCATGTGAGGTTGTAGGATTAGAAGGGCAAGGAAAGAGCCTGTGAAGCGTGTCTGGTCAGATAACTGGGTGGGCGGCTGAGCCTTCGCCTTCAAAAACCTTTGAGAAGATTTTATGGACACCCACTGGTTGGGTAATGAAAGGACAACCATATCCATCGTATTTCATCACCCATGTTATGTTCTTTGGTATCATCTCATAACGCGTTTGAATTGCAAAGTGGGTCCTCCCATTTTGTTTCCATATAGGCTTTTAATTGGCTTTCATTTCATATTTTTGACTCTTCTCTTCAATCCTACTATAGAATTTGGGTTAGGTTTAGCTGTAAACCAGGAGTGAGACCAACTTTTTAAATGTTTTTCTGTCCAATTACATGCTGCTCGCTGCTGCGTGTTCCACCCGTGATCGAACGACTAACGTTTATTATATGCAGCTCAAAAGGATTAGTTTTCTGTGTATATTTTAGGATTAGCTTCATGAAAGACCATAAAACAAATATCAAGTTGGCAACTTTTACTTAAGAAATGCATGAAATAAGTTAGAATCTGTTGCCAAATTGTCACGAACTTGCTGCTGTGTCTTTTTGTGAATCAAGCAATTGAAAGGGTCAGAAATAGCTGCTGTGATATGCTCAAATTTAGGATTCTTGTAAAAAAATATATACTTTTTTGTGATATGTTCTAAGATTTTTAGTACTCAAAACAAAATTATAACTCTAAAAACGTAATCTCAAAATACTTGCATTTTATAGCAATATGTTTTACGGTCCGGAAATGAAAACGAAATTAAACGTTAGTTTGAAAAATGGAATCTTTAAATATTAAAATCAGCTAGATGTATAATTGAGGTATTTAGGTTAAAAATAAGCCCTTCTTTTATAAAGCAACAGGTAGTTATGCACTTTGCTCAAGTCATTATCTGAACTCAAGAATCTATTGGGATTTGACCTTAGAATTTCACGAGGACAGAAGGGTGAATAAAACAAGAGCTCAATATTCGGAAATTATTTTTGGACCAAAATATTTGTTCATAACCTGATAATCATGTGCTTGATGTTTGAAAATTCCCTTCTCCCATATATCAATGCAAGAATCAGCCAACTGTAACTAAATAGATAATAACAAAAGATCCAAGACCTTGAAAATTTGCGGGACCCTTCAATTTTTCAGGTTGGATGACAGTGAATTGCACCACGTCCGTCAGCTACAAAAAGGCCCCCTCCCCCTCCCCCTCCACCTCCCCCCTCCCTAGCATCATTCTCATTCTCTCAGGCATTTTCACAAACTTTTTTTCCCTTTTCAAAAGCAACGTTTCTTTCACACCAACATGGCTAGACCACAACAACGATATCGAGGTGTCCGACAAAGGCATTGGGGTTCTTGGGTTTCTGAAATTCGCCATCCCATATTGTAAGTTTAACTTCATTTCCCCCCGGAAAACCATGAAAGTTTGGGCTCTTCAAGCATGTGTACTGATATGAACGTTTTTTTTTTGTCCAGGAAAACTAGAATTTGGCTGGGAACATTTGAAACGGCAGAAGATGCGGCTCGCGCTTACGATGAAGCTGCGAGGCTTATGTGTGGACCGAGGGCTAGAACAAACTTCCCTTATAATCCGAATGCACCTCGATCATCATCATCCAAGATACTATCAGCAACTTTGACAGCTAAACTACATAAATGCTACATGGCTTCACTTCAAATGAACGAACCACCACCACTGAAGGAGCCAAAAAGTGAGCCACCAACACCACATGTCGTCAGCAACAATGGCATTGAAGGTAGAGACAATGGAATGGTAGTTGGCCTGCTGGGGAAGAGACCATCGCCAGTTCAAGAGACTGAAACAAATTGGGTTGTCAAAAAAGCTCAAGTAGAAAGGACCCAACCTTTCAAATCTCTTGAAGAGGATCACATTGAACAAATGATTGAGGAGCTACTTGATTATGGCTCCATTGAACTATGTCCATAGGATATCCACCATTCCTTTCTTCTTTCTCTCCACATTTCTCCCCTTTTCTCCTTTTCATCATCGTTGGAAGCACAAGCCTTGAGGAGTTAAGGCTGGCTTGGTCTTTAGTCTTTACACTTCATTCCATGCGCCCAGTGGCATTGATTCGCTAATGTAACCAATGTAACCCATTCTTAAGCAACCTTGAACCTTCCCAATACCATTTTACCAAGTGTTGAGACAGTCCCTTTAGTTCCTAGCGTCTACCATGTAACGGTGTACAGTAAGCTCTGTTATGATATATGTTACTATTATCTTCTGCTCTGTCTCTTGCTTTTCGATCATGGATTCGGAGGATGAAATGTAGGAGTTTCCATCATTCTGCTTTGCAATGTTCCCAAGTATGCTATAATAAATTACCTTTCCTTTCCATATTTTCACAATTCGAATGGACTTAGCCTATCTTCCTAGATAAGGCAAAGTCATGCTTATTCTTTTCAAAGCAACAGTAGAACCATCGTCCTTTTTATTATTTTCAACACCAAACCGTCGAGCTACACACACATTATTCGTCACTATCACAGGGTTTTGCGTGATATGCGGATCATTTCTTCATTATTAAACATGTTCTGTGATTCATATGTTTTAGTATTACGATAACATCTTTGTTCTTGGCAACATACTTCTGCTGAAATTATTAGTATCATTTATTCATCAAGAGTTTGAGTTCCTAACATACTTCTGCTGAAATTAATCAATGATAATCAGCAGAACAAGACTAGAAAACTTATGGGAAACAATCATGTTAGTGAAGTTTTTGATGATAAAACTGAATCTAGGGCGCTTCCCGTAAGAATCTCTACTAGTAGAAATTAACATGCCGTCACTGAAAACCCACACATACCAAGACAAGGCAATTCATTTCCATATTAACACTTCACTTTCTACATAAAGTAAGCTGGCAAGTGTCTAATTATATTGATGGATTTAATATTATATTAAATTCAGAGTCCTTTTAGATATTGTAAATTAATAAATATGATTTAATTTGAATATTAGTAGGATAAATACTCTTTTAATATGTCAATTTAAAATTGTATGTCAATTTAAAATTGTATGTGTTATCTTTTTAACTTTGAATATTAAAATATAATTATATACTTTTGTGTATTTCAAATTAAAATAACATTTGTTTAATTTGAATAATAAAATGAGTATATATGTTTAGTATTTTAAATTTAAAAGATATTATTATCTATTTAAATTTATATATTAAAAGATATCTGATTGGAGTAAATCTCTTAGGTTTAATATTTTAAATTTAAAAGACATTATTATCTGTTTAAATTTAGATATCAAAAGAGATTTATTTGGAGAAAAATTCTCTCGAAATTTCCCTATAAATACTGAACAAATATCTTAATTTTTTTTTTCTTAAATCAGAATTCAAGAAGCTTTTTTCTCTTGAAAATATTCTCTTCTTCTCAAAAAATATCCCTTTTCCCTTACTTTTTCGGTCATAGTTGAAGGCAATGAAAGTTTGCGATCTATACTGTTGTGTTATTGTATTTGATCATCTAGTTATTGTATCCTGGGAGACAGACGACCAAAGAATTTCGAGCACCAAGGAGTGGCCGAAAATATATCTTAAGGAAACTGTGTAGCGACAGACCTCAGGATCAAAATACATAATATTTTATTTCCTGTAATTCTCTTTTATTTTTTTAAAAAAATAATTCTTTCTTTTACTTTTATGAAATTCCAATTTAGTCTCATATTGTTACTCTCGATAACAACAAACACTTCCCATCACTATATTCTAAGTTCATCAAACGGTATAGCTAAAAATAGTAGTATCTTCACTTCTAAATTAGGTAAGACAAACAACCACAAGAACGAGGAAAGAAAACCAGAGCACCTTTAGAAGATAGTAATTTCAAACGACTTGATTAGCCAAAAATTATTGGGGATCTGGAAAGAACTTGCCCTTTTTGACAGATATGGAAATAAAGAAGATGCAACGATACTAGCCTAATTAACCTTTTATCCTCTCTGTTTTATAACTGTCTTTTTTTTATGAACTACGGCTGTTCATTACATATTAGTTTAACAGTTCAAGTAAAAGTTAATTTTATCGAATCAGATCGAATAAAGATAATTAAGTACATTCTCAAAGACTAGGACTTGAAACTTTAATTGAACTGAAACAACCCTATACAAATTGATCCAAAACATTTGATGGCTAATATAGTTTTAACCCGTAAGTCTTAGAATTATAAGCAGGATTCCACTGTTTTTTTTTTATATAGAGAACATTTTAACTTGATCCAAAGGAAATAATAATTGTTATGTAAAAAGAGCCAAGAGCAAATATGATTTAACCTAATTTTCAATGATTAACTTGCATGGATGGCTTATTTTAAGTATCAAAATGAATGAATTATGAATGCTTTTTTGTTCTTGGTGTCTAGTCTCCATCGATGAAACTTCATGATGTTCACCTGTTTGGAAATTGATTTTGACCATTTCAAAAGAAAATGAATAAAGTTGTTTACTTTTGATTCAGCGAAAGCGATTAACATCATGGCATGTTAGTGAGTTTTACCATCATTAATAGTTTGAAACTTTTGTCACCTTTGGCTTCTGTTATTTTCAAACAAACCTACCATGAAAGGATTGAATATTCATGGTCATAATCTGACAACTTGAATTCTGTCTACAGAACAGTCTTGAATGCTCTTGTACGAACTGATTAAATATTCTTGTAGTAATTGTTCTTGGTGATTGATGCTCAAATTCAAGTCCTGAGTTTGAAACTAGCAGAGTATCTGGTTCTAAGAAGTGGAGTTGCGCTCCTTCTAGTTCTGGTGAACCTAGTAAAAGAAAAAAAAAATTACTACTTGATTCCCTTGGATTGCATATCTTAGTGAAAAAAATAGAGGGGGGAGAACACAAGAGTCGAGGGTGAGATCTTCCTTAGAATAAAAGTGGTCAAAAACCAATCATGATGTATAGAATCTCGTGAGGAAATGTTGGGGGTAAAGACAATCATATGACCTTAAAACCCTTTCCAGAGATCACCTAATTCTTTTAAATTTTGCTGAGAGTGTCGTCCTAATGGGGGTATTAGCTTTGTTTTTGATTCGTTGAATGAAGCGAGTCATGCAAAAATCCAAACTTTTTTTTCAGGAGTGCTACAAAAAGGTTGTTGGCATACACCCTGAAAAAAGCCAAGGTTAGTATCAACAAGTTCTGGATCATAAAAAAAAATCTTTAAAATTGCTTTAATAACAAAACCTCAGATTTTTATATGTAGGGGGAGGGCCTCTAGACATCATGGTGCAGTGCATGCCATGGCATGGAATGTCATCTTCTTCCTGCTGTGTCTCCATTCTGTTCACATGGATGACCATGTGAAAGCTAACATGTATATGGTTTGTGCCCTAAAATCTCCATTTCTTTATGTTAGAAAGACGATACAAAGATGAATGGGGACCTACCGACTCTTTCTTCCTTCCCAATTGTCCTTTCGTAAGTCATTATCATACTTATTATTTGAGCATCTTTAAGGGAATTAATTATGCGCCAATTAACTGTAAATATCATTTTCTTTCATATTGCTAGTGCCATCACTGTCAGTATCATGAATGCAATTATGTGGAAACCTTGCTCAAGCAATACCTGCCCTGTAATCCACTAGTATTCAAGTTTCATTCCATCTACTTATAGACATTTATGTCTATATTTATTCGTTTAAGCTTTGGAGATTTTATTAGATTCCCTTGCAATCATGACTGCGTTTGTTTGGGTAAACTCACTATCTCGTCGCTTAACTATTCAAACAGTTTCGTTTTGGTCACTCAATTATTTTTTTAATATCATATCTAACGTTATATTTTAGTTTCATTTTAAATACCCGCGGTTAAAAATTAACAGAACTATTGACATGACATTTTTTTTAATAATGACGCGACATTATATTATAGTGAGAGGTTGCATCACAATTGATATTTTAACAATTGGTGACTAAAATAAATAAAACATAATGTTAGATACAATTTTAAAAATAAAAAAACTAAATAACTAAAACGAAATCACACATATAATTGAAGGACTAAATACGTGGTCTACCTTCTTTTTAGTATTTAGGACTGTTCATTTCAATCGGTTATCAGTGACCAACAAATACAGCGCAGTTGGAATGTTAAATACAGGGAACACCTTTCCCACCTAAGGGCGGATCTAATAGTTCCTCTGATGGGAAAATTTCATCTTCAGTCCCTTCAAGTTTCAGGTTTGAAAGTTAATATAATAAAAAATTCTCCTTCAATCGAAAAATGATAAATTTCAGCAATAGTTTTGAGTGAAAACGACGACGAAATTGTATTTTGGTTTGTCAGGTTCCATGACATGGAAACACTTTGCTGCTGCCATTGCCTTATCACAATGTCCACTGGATCAGTCCTTAATGGTATATTAGCAAGGTTTAAAACCAGTTTACCTTAGAAAGTGTGCATGGGCTGGAATCTATAATACGGCAAAAACAATAAAAACCAGTTGTTTTCCGTAGTTAGTGCCTTAATGGGCCCATCGAAGAAAGATGTGTGGCCTGGAATCATGATGACGGATTATGGCTTCCAGCTTTAAGTAGGGATTGTACTCTTCGAAGTTCAAACCCACCTCCTTGGGCTCAGCCTTATCAGACACCGAGCAAGACTTCAGCTCACATGGCAGGGAACTCGTCTTTATGCAGTGAAGCACATTAGATAAAAACCAAAAACGCCGAATAAAACCATAAGAAAATGGAAACGCAATTCAGTAGTCAGCAACTCCATATTTTTTGGGCTAGTAGCCGTAATTGATTAAGCTAGTTTAAGCTTGGCTTAATAAATAAGCGAGAAATGGTAAGGCATCTGTTGGATGGTGTCGTAGCTGGAAGAGTTTGGAGAATATTTAGGTAAAGAGTTAGCTTGATGTCTGGACACATTAGATTTGCAGATTATCATAGACAGATCCCTCTTTCCTTTGACTAATCAGTAAATTAATTACCAAGTTAGCAGTTAGCCAGGGTTTTTTTTCTTCTTTTGGTTAAAACCAAAAAAAAGAAAAGAGTTTTTAATTATGTTTGATGTTAATGATAAATTCGAGTGTCCTTTTCCAAGAAGCTGCCTGCGACTCTAATAAACAATGTAAAGGAAAAATAACTGCAGAAGCAATTGGCAAACAAACTTCAAAAGGGACCTTTTACCTTTGGTCTGTCTTTCTGGTGCAACTTTGCTTCTGGGGTGGGGCAGAAATGGATTCAAACGCTAACCTTGAGTTCA